TACAAGTACAAATTCGATTCGACTAAAATCTGAGCCCATATATATCTTTCCACCTTTCTGTATGTTAAGTAAGGTGTTGATGAAAATCCGGAGGGATAGAGTTCTAAGAGCTAATATTATTGCTCCATTATGGAGAACAGCAGCCTTGGTTCCATCTGTTGATTGATGCTCTTATCTATTTTCCTGTTAGGCTTCCACGCCACAACGATAATCACCGCCTGCAATGTATCAGGAGTACCCTCAAACATCAGGGACTTCAGGACTCAGTCATTGATGTCATCTGTTCCAGCTGGCGACTGGGAACTCAGAAACAGTATTTGTATGCATGGCGCAAATTCCTTGTTTGGACTATTGGACAATCATGCTGTGCCACTGAAGCGACTGAAACCACAGTGATTGCATACTTGGACTTTCTTAAAGAGAGTGGGAGCTCATTTACAGTGATTAACACTCATAAATCATGCATACTTCAGACTTTACAGGTTTTAAGTGCTACGTGGGTCTTGAATCCTAGGTGGTTGCCCAGGCACATGAAAGGACTATATCATTTACAGCCACCGAGGCCTCGTTACATTCGGACATGGGATGTCAGTAGTGTTTTGACTTATTTATCTTCTTTGTTTCCTCATCGAAGTTTAAGTTTGAAAGATTTGGCATTGAAGCTTACAGCATTGCTGGCATTGGTCACAGCAGCGAGAGCTCTGACACTGGTGGCATTAGATTTAAGTTATCTGTAAGTAGCAGACGATCACTCTAAAGTGAATTTTTTAATTTATGAACTCACTAAAACAAGTAAGTTGGACAAACCGATTCAGGAGATTCTTCTGGAGAGATACTCTAAACAAGAAATTTGTGTTTTGGACACATTGTTTGAATATATTTGTCGCACTTGGGAACTAAGGATGTCAAGTAGATTGTTGATTTCATACAAGACATTTTCTGCGGCGTCTACATTGCACTATAGCCAGATGGCTACGGACAGTGCTCATTCATGCAGGAATTGATGTGACTGTTTTTAAACCCCACTCTTACAGAGGAGCTTCTGTTTCAGCAGTATTTAACAGTGGCTTTTCACTGAAACAGATTATGCGGACCGCAGATTGGACTTCAGTTAAATACGTTTAAAAAGTTTTATTACCGAGAGTCCGGGGAAGGGACTAAGTTCTCGGATAGACTTTTGAGTTGTCAATTCAGTTGATCTTGTATTTTCTTTCTTAAAATAAATTTTGTTGGATTGCATCTCCATTGAGGTTGTGTGGTTGAATCCTGTGAAATAGTCCACACAAGCAGTGTGATTGTCATCAGCTTTGAACATGCTGTTTACATCTCTGAGATGAAGGCGAACGTAAATGAAAAATAATGCTCCCTCATCCCAGCAGGTGTGCAGGATGAGGGTCATTATTTGAATTGTAGTGAGCTTGAGGCTCAGAGAACACCCACCACTTTTTTGAGCTAGATTTAGGGGTTGGCTGAGACCCTCCCTTTTTAAAACTTTGATGACAATCACATGTGGCGATGAAAAGTGAAGGAGGCCAGGCTAGGAGCCTACTTATGGGGTCACTAGGCATCATGGGTAATTGCCTCTTTGAATCAGAGACCTTACTCTCACAATAACTCAAATGATGCTGTTTACATCTCTGAGCCTCCGGTTCACTACAATTCAAATAATGCCACTCATCCTGCACACCTGCTAGGATGAGGGAGCATTTTTATGTACCTTTTTGGCCCTTCCTTTCACATCAGGACAGGAAGAAGCAGCAGCCAGGTGGCTCATGTGCTGGATGGTTGCTGCATATTGGCCACTTTCCTGTTCATCCTGTCCACCTTGCTTGAGAAGTACATGCAACGCTCGCTCAACATGTGGAATCTAGCGTGTGCCTTTGAATAAAAAAAATTACCATTTACTTTGAAGATACATGATAAGCTGCAACAAGCCAAAGTAGCTCAACCAAATAAATATTAACTCAAAAAAGTATTAGAAATGAGTGTGAACATATTTAACCCTAACTCTTCTTCATTACTCAGTGTTTATTTAACCTTTGACACTTGAAGGGTTGTTGATGGTGACTCCCAGCATTTGGCCTACAGCATGGAGCTCTCTTTGAGATTTTGGGCTGAAGTGGTATGTTTTCCACAGTAGGTGGAGGAGATCATAAACTTTAGCAACCAGGGGCTCTTTCTTTTGGACTGTCAGTATTGCCAATTCCAACCTAAATGAACGACAGTGTAGTATTGGCTTAAAAATACATTTCATTTCTAGTATATTACATCATAGCTTGTTCCTAAAAGCTGTATTATGATGTAGTAGTTGGGCTTAAGGTGAATTAAGCTTCTCCCACATCTCTCATACACAAGGTTATGAGGAAAGTTTTACCAAGGTATTTCTCATTACTTTTAATATCTTTGACTGTGCGAAGTGAAAAGTGACACAATAAGTGAACGTTCAGATGAGTTCAAGTTGATTCATAAAAGACTATGCAATCATTTATTTACACAAATTGAACAAATCATAAGTACATTTAATTGTGGGTATTCCTATAAAAGGTGTCAAAGTTAAATGAGATGAAAATCCGCGACCGAATTTCAATTCACATCAACTCAGATTACTTATATAGAACAGTAAAACGTCAGCTCTGATGTTAACAACCAAACAATTTTGCTGGCACTTTCAGCTTAAGTTTTGGCAAATAAAGACAAGAAAAGGAGGAAAGTAAGGTTAGTATTTCTACTACTTTACTTTATCAAGTGTGGTCAACCGGATCAGCACGTCCCTTCTGGTCACTTAGATTTCCACATGACACGTCATCCTGAACACGTCAGTTTTACCTGGGGATGACTTCTTAAATCACCCCCGGGGTAGGAACTGTCTCACCCCCGATCAGTCAGGGAACTTTTATCGGCTCGCTTACTGGTCCTTGGCGAAAAAAGTGTTTTCCAGGTAACTTTTCGTCTGTTTCAGTCCAAGCCAGAAAGATTCAAGCTGTACATCCGGTTCCTTCTTTCAAAATAAAATCTCCTCTCGGGAGTTAAAAACACACTTAGAGACTTGAAGCCTCGGGGTGGGACTGGCTGGCGTGCCGAGTCCCGGCTGTTAGATCTCCCCTAGTTAGCTCATGGGCTAAGACCTAAAAGCCAAACTGAGTCTCTCCCGAGAGAGAAACTCAGCTGTCTTACCAGTTGGAGTCAGGAAGAAGAGTGTCCCTCAAAGACGTCCATGGTTAGTAATAGAAACGGACGATCTTTGGTTCCGCCCTCAGGCATAGAGATGAGTCAGAGAAAGAAAGAAAGATAAAGACTTGCCAGCCAGGCGCCAGTCAAGGTTAAATTCTGTGGTTGTTCAACAACAAGATGATAACCTTTCTTCAGCTTTCTTCTGATAGACTCTAAGAGAAATCACTGCAAAACATTTATAATTAATTAACATTTCTGTCTTATAATCAGTTCTGAACCTTCTGTTAGTCCAGATAAATGAAAGATTTTCTCAAGAAAAATCCACAATTATATTACTGTGTTCATAGTAAAATAAAAACAGTGATTTACAGAAAAACACAATGAAAACATTGTAATGAGATTCTCTGATTTTTTTACACCATTATTAATCTTTTAGGCACGATAAGAGAAAAGAAGTGGTTCTACTTTTCTTGTGACAGTCATTATCATGATTTAACAAATGCATAAACATTCTTAGTTAAACAACAAATGAATCACGAACAGAAGAGATTGTTCTGTCCATAATCTGATTAAGAGAACTGAGGAATTCTCTTCTAGGTTAAAATGACCTGTCATGGCCTAAATTGAGTTCAGTTTGTGACAGAGTTCCTGTCCTCTTGTCAGGCCTGTCCGATGTTGTACCTGTGCGGCATGCAGTGAAAAGGAATTACATGCTCTCCAACCTCTTCCTTGAGCAGAGCAATAACACCTCCACGATGTCCCATGTTCACTGCTGCGCCGTCTGCTCCAAAGCCTACCAGGCGGCCCATCCCGTCCTCTGCTCCCAGATTCTCAAAAGCAGTCTTGGTAGCTTGCAGTACTCCTAAATTAAAATAAATAACATTAATCAGACTTACAAACAATGCAATTGCAAACTGTAATTATCATTTAAAAATGTGTTTTGTTGGATTGCTTTAATCAATTTTTGTATTTATTTTGTGCACTTGTTTATTAGCTATTTTTATCTTTTTATCTGCTCAGGATAATGTAAATTTAGCCATTCTAATTCTGGCATATTTATATTCATGCAATAATGGTTAATGTGCATTGTTCTTATAAATAAACATTTTTAATTAAAAGAAAATCTGCTTTAATCTCCACCAGCCCTCTACCAACGATTAGCTTTCCCACCATTTGGCTGGTGTTAATTTTCAACAGTCTGTTTAACCCTCTTTTACAAGCCAAAGCGATTTAGAAACATGTATGTTACTCACCCAATGCATGACTGTGTTTTAGCTCTTGCTGCCCAACTAGCTTGTTCGTAGGTTTTCCTTCTTGTATGAGGCGCACATAAACTATCTCACACTCCCTGTTTGAAACCTCTGTATCGCTGTCGATCATGACTGAGATGTAGCGGGCTCGTCTGATTTCTTCAGTCAGAGCGGATTTCATTTCTCCGCAATGGTCGAAATCATCTCCCCACATCGGACATGGTTGTCATAGGATGGAGTGATATCTGCTCCATTCTTTTTCCAGTGATGTCAAACTTCTAAATTTAGTAAATGGTAGCTCTTCTTTTGCGATGCAGTAAGCCACATTTATCTTCATCTTTACTTCTTTCAGTGCAGCTTTGTCTGTTTTCGCCGCTCCTATCTTCAGAAAGTGAAGAACCGTACCAGCACGCTGTGGTTGTTGCTTTGATTTGAACGCATCCCTGGCCAGAATGTGTCGATGTGACATGTGGTGTTTTTTAATATTGTCCCATTTAAAGATCTTGTTTCCCACAATGTACGAGTTGTCCGTTTTTATCTTTTTCGGCGCTTCAATACAGTACTGACAGAAGAGTGTGGCAATTAGTGTTTTTCWCCTGTTGATCCATGATTGGCTGACGCTCTGAGGAGCGCAGCTGCAGCAGGTTCCACTGATGAGCACCAGGGGTTTATTAGATGGCACTGAAGAACAGGACCTCGCCGGCGCAACACATATCTATGTGAACTCGTTCTTGGTCCTGTGAACCCATCTGGAAGATCTACTCCCCCTGCTCATCTGCCTGTCTGCCTCCAACTAAAAAGAGAAATACTCACCTGCCTCAACTCACCTGCTTCTCAGCCTCGCACCTGCAAACCAGAGATTACCAAACTTACCTTTGTGGATCCTCGTCCTCTTCTCCGAGCTGCTCCYCTGTTCTCCCTCCGTAAGCAAATCCTTTTTTACTCATCTCAAGATATCTACTACACTTAATCATCGATACTCACCTGGCCTCCTTTCTTTACAGCTGTCCCAACCCGTCCCCATCCTGTGCACTGTAAATAAAAACACTTATTGTTTATTTGGTCTCATGTGTTGTTGTTTCGTATCAGATCYGCTCCTCTTTGAACATTTCAATATCCTGATAAAGAGTAGCTGTGCGTTAGCATCGTAAACGAGCCATGGAAAGTCTTTTTTCCACTCTGCGCTATACTTATAAACTTTGCCCTTCTTCTCATACGTACCTTCGTTTGGTGCCGTTTTTGCTTCTTCCTGAGGGGTTTGTTTGGTTTTGAAACTCGTTAACGGTTTGAAATATCGCTCCATTTTTCCATCCAAAACATCCCGCTTACCGGACGCGATGCGCATGAGCATACCATACCACTTAGCAGCGAACTGGCATGCAGGAATTCTGGGAATTGTAGTAGGGTATAAGGGTAGTTGTGATAAGTTAACGCTTTGTTATTACAATGGACTACAATACCCATGTAGCATAGTGACGTGTCACAGCTTCGCATGTTACAAATTCCTAATGAGAAGAAAAGGAGCTTACAAAGTTGTAGCACCAGTGTTACTTGAAAAAAAGCTTGTAGCATGGACAGTTTTTTCATAGCATGTGTGACATACAGTATATGTCGCACTGTACAGCCCTGAGGGAGATGAGCTGCAGCTGATCAGCCAACACCCATCACACCTATTAATAAACTCTAAATAAATTTACCAAGCAAACAATACATCTCAACTGAAACAGGCTTTTTATAATAAATGTGAAACAATATCTTAAGCAAATAAGTTAACATTCATAAAAGATAAATACTGCTTATTACCTGATGACACCTGTAGCTTCAACCTTAACAAATAAAATAACATTTTTCTCAATCTTCAAATAAAAATAATTACTCTCATTAAAACAAACATAAGCTGCACATTTTCACACCTCGTTCCGCCTTCCAAGTGTGCTAATTTAAAGCTGCAAATCATCTTCTCTTGCTGTATGCTCTCTCATTTCACACATCTTACCCTGTGCTTCAGTTTCATTTGACAACTTGCTCATGACCAGTGGCGGCTCCAGAAATTTTTTTCTGCAGGTGCTAGGGGGGTGCTTTTTAGCATTTTTCTGGTGAACAACATCATGCAGCGTAGCCATAACAGCTGGGAGAGTTTTTTGACAGCACGTATGGAATCATACTGGCATGCCCAGCAGGTGTCACTGAGTCTTTTAAGCTCTAGGCGCTGTCCCACCGACAGCAAGTTCCTCCTGCTTCTTCAAAAAAAGATCATGAACAACAGACCCAGAAAAAACTTGTAAAGCATTTGCAAAATCTCAAAAAAATCGGCTGCAGCACCAGTGTTATGTACACAGTCTACCAACACAAGATTCAGCCTGTGAGCATGGCAGTGAATGTACACAGCTTGCGGCACGTGTTTTTTCAACTTTTCTTGAACTCCGTTGTTGCATCCGGACATAACAGCAGCACCGTCATAGCACTGTCTGACACAGCAATTTATATCAATGTTACAACNATTGTTTATTTGGTCTCATGTGTTGTTGTTTCGTATCAGATCTGCTCCTCTTTGAACATTTCAATATCCTGATAAAGAGTAGCTGTGCGTTAGCATCGTAAACGAGCCATGGAAAGTCTTTTTTCCACTCTGCGCTATACTTATAAACTTTGCCCTTCTTCTCATACGTACCTTCGTTTGGTGCCGTTTTTGCTTCTTCCTGAGGGGTTTGTTTGGTTTTGAAACTCGTTAACGGTTTGAAATATCGCTCCATTTTTCCATCCAAAACATCCCGCTTACCGGACGCGATGCGCATGAGCATACCATACCACTTAGCAGCGAACTGGCATGCAGGAATTCTGGGAATTGTAGTAGGGTATAAGGGTAGTTGTGATAAGTTAACGCTTTGTTATTACAATGGACTACAATACCCATGTAGCATAGTGACGTGTCACAGCTTCGCATGTTACAAATTCCTAATGAGAAGAAAAGGAGCTTACAAAGTTGTAGCACCAGTGTTACTTGAAAAAAAGCTTGTAGCATGGACAGTTTTTTCATAGCATGTGTGACATACAGTATATGTCGCACTGTACAGCCCTGAGGGAGATGAGCTGCAGCTGATCAGCCAACACCCATCACACCTATTAATAAACTCTAAATAAATTTACCAAGCAAACAATACATCTCAACTGAAACAGGCTTTTTATAATAAATGTGAAACAATATCTTAAGCAAATAAGTTAACATTCATAAAAGATAAATACTGCTTATTACCTGATGACACCTGTAGCTTCAACCTTAACAAATAAAATAACATTTTTCTCAATCTTCAAATAAAAATAATTACTCTCATTAAAACAAACATAAGCTGCACATTTTCACACCTCGTTCCGCCTTCCAAGTGTGCTAATTTAAAGCTGCAAATCATCTTCTCTTGCTGTATGCTCTCTCATTTCACACATCTTACCCTGTGCTTCAGTTTCATTTGACAACTTGCTCATGACCAGTGGCGGCTCCAGAAATTTTTTTCTGCAGGTGCTAGGGGGGTGCTTTTTAGCATTTTTCTGGTGAACAACATCATGCAGCGTAGCCATAACAGCTGGGAGAGTTTTTTGACAGCACGTATGGAATCATACTGGCATGCCCAGCAGGTGTCACTGAGTCTTTTAAGCTCTAGGCGCTGTCCCACCGACAGCAAGTTCCTCCTGCTTCTTCAAAAAAAGATCATGAACAACAGACCCAGAAAAAACTTGTAAAGCATTTGCAAAATCTCAAAAAAATCGGCTGCAGCACCAGTGTTATGTACACAGTCTACCAACACAAGATTCAGCCTGTGAGCATGGCAGTGAATGTACACAGCTTGCGGCACGTGTTTTTTCAACTTTTCTTGAACTCCGTTGTTGCATCCGGACATAACAGCAGCACCGTCATAGCACTGTCTGACACAGCAATTTATATCAATGTTACAACGACTGAGGGTCATTTTGATGCTCTCAAAAAGTGAGTCTGCATCTAATCCTTCTGCTGGGGTGAAATGCAAARATTCTTCCACCACCTTCTGTGAATCTGGCTGCAAATGACGAACAATAACAGAAATTTGTTCTTTTTTGCGATATCTTTACTTTCATCCACCAAAATAGCAAAGTGTTGAGCTTCTTTCACTTCATTACTGATTTGTTTTCTTATCATTTCAGCCATTACATTGAATATTTCGTTCTGCACGTCATGGTGAACATACTTGGCATTAGATGGATTAATGCTCAGCTTCTTTTGGACAGTGGGATCAAATTTTCCTATGACATCAAGCATCTCACGAAAATTACCTTTGTTGGCTGAATCCTCTGTCTCACRGTGACTGCGCTGTGCGATTCCCTGACAAGCTGTGGTAGCGCAAACTTTCTACAACACCCATCATGTACCTCCGGTTCTCCTGAACCAATGCTGAATGTCCTTTGTCRAGCATGTTGGGGAGTTTTGATCCACTTGTTTGTTTTAACTTGAATTCACTCCATGCTTCCATTGCAAATTTGTGTCCAGCGCTTTCATGATGGCTCTTCAATGACGCAGCTGCTTTCCGCCAGTTATTAAAGCCGAGAGCGGTAAATGCTGGCTCAAGGTGGAATCTGTGTTCTCCTTTTCGAAAATGCCGACAAGCAAAACCAAACACGGCATCTTTACTCACATTGTATTCCAACCACAAATATTGATCAAGCCAGCCTTTGCTAAAACTTCTCTGTTGCACTCCAAACAAGCGTGATGGGTATTTTTGCAGAAGTGGTCGTCTTGGTCCATCGTGAGGACTTCTGCTTGGATCCTCTAGCTGTCCACTGCTAACACTGTTAGCATTCTCCACAGCAGTCGATGGATAACCGCACAGTTGATCTCCTTCATCCAGATTTATATTTCTCTGTTGGTTGGACTCTGCTTCCAAATAATCACCCTTCTCTGATTCCATCCGTGGAACTTTTGGTTGCAAAAAACAACCCATATTTGCGCTGCGTCACGACGTGTTCCTCTCAGTTGCTTTACGGAAGTGATAATGCGCTAAGTTCAAATCACGTTGCATGATGGTTGTTTTTTTTTTTTACTGAAATTAGAATAGTTTATTATTTTTTTCTTTTTGTCTTTAGAGGAAAATACCACAATAAC